AACCAATAGTCAGTTTTGGAAAGATAGGATTCCAAAGGCCGGATCCCTTGTGAATCAAGTCACGAAAAGTTCAAGAATCGGCAACAGGCCACGGGCTTATTTCTTCAATGCCGACACTTCTATTCTATTCTAACGTAAAATTGGCGGACTTGCGGACCGCGACCTCACGGACACGGATTTGCTATTTACAAAAAGCCGTAGTTGGTAGAACGCAGATGTTGTGACTGATTATTGACGCTTTGACGGTGTCTGTTTTGTGAAAAGATCATCGTAAGTAACGCTCTTGGAACCTACATAAGCTTTAGATAATCATTTTATTCTATGTAGAAAGATAGGGCGGGGGTGGCAATAAACTTAGGAAAAACATGAACAGCTAGGACTGCTAGGTAGCCTTTCATCTGGGACGTCTGAACGGACGAACCCAAGGGCCAAGGCGAAGAATGAAACTCCTTTTTTGGAGTCTGTACCGATGACAGGGCAGCTACCAGCTGGCTGAGCTTGGTGATGCTGCAAATATACTTAGGGACCTGGGACTCTAAAGCTCAAAACGTGAACCAACCTGATGGTTTCCCAATCCTTGTCACTGTCAGTTGTGAGATGAGATGAAAGCTAATAAGCTTGCTGTTGCTGGGGTCAGGGGTGCTCAGCCTGCTATTGACAAAACAAAACAGTAATTCAGCAAATGAGCAGTTAACTAACATAGACAAACTGGAAATGCAACATGATGGGATTGGGCAAATTTTGAAGGGTTTCCAAGATTCATTCTGGTTCACTAACACTGGGACTAGAGTCACTAGACTCACTAGTCAGTAAAGTCACTAGGACTAGGAGACTGAGTCAGTCACAGTCAGTGAGTCTGAAAGTACCAGATGAACATCCTAATGGAATCCATTAGGATGTTTATCTGATAGGGTAAATGCACCATATTCCAACACTGTGGGTAATTCTGAGTCCGACAATTTCTCAACTTTCCGACACTTCTCAACTTTTTCCTTTATATTAAGCTTTGTCTTAGTTCCACGCATGCATAGATGTTGAAATAGTGACGTCGTACTATTACATGCAATATTTCCATAAAACACTAGGTCTGGTGGGAAAATATTAAGATCCGCAGAGCGAAAGTCCACGTCACCCAGTGAGAACATCAAAACACGTGTGAAAGTTGATAGTTGACCTTGCTCTACAAAATAGTGATAAACTGTTTGTGTAGAAAGAATATTATGGTTTGAGACTTTTAAATACTGTAAGTCTGTGAATATATTAGGAATCCTTTAAGAATACTTGTATTTGCTGATTTTAAGTGGTAAATAAATTAATAGATGATTGATTTAAGAGACGGATCAGGTTGTAGACACATAAAAACTAATTCTGATACGGTGTCGGAATTACAACACACAGCCGTGACAGCCGTGTGTCATATTCTGACACAGCTCACACAGGGTGTCAGAATTACAACACCAGGTGTCGGAATTACGAATTATGATTTTTAAGCGCTGTTGGAATTAGTCTCACAATATGCCGCATTTAGCCTCACACGTGTCGGAATTTATCGATTTTGTAGATTTGAATTCTAAAGGCTTTTAAATATATATGGCAACAGTTTGTGACATTTCATCATTGCTGGTTCATAGTGTGGTGTTTTTAGAGTGATATAAACCAATCAGAACTCGAGTTGCGCATTCGGTTATCTATTTATAGCCATTTATTTCTTGCTACATCCTTAAGGTGTCGGAATACGGTGTGTTTACCCTACTTTACACTAATTAAAATACTAATTTTTACTAGTAATTAATTAATTAGTATTTTACAATACTTATTTTTGCTAAACTAATTAAACTAATAATTACAATTAAGGGGTTGGCACTTGGCAAGTATGATTTCCTGAGGTATTTGCATTTCAGCAGGGAGCAGGAGAAGTTGGCCTGTGGAATTCTGGATAGGTAATATATTCTTACATCAACATAAGAAAATGGATCGAAAAACTTACCTCCTAGCCTCCTAGGCGCCTACCATGTTACACCTTCCACCGCAGTGACAATTGATACACTGAGTTCAGAAACTGCTGCACTTCTGAAATCACACACAGTTTGAAATCCAAAATTGTGTTGGCAATGCCTCCCTTGATTACTTTCATAAGTTGTTTATCGTATCTGACAAATTTTTGCAATGAACATGTTCTAAAATGAAAAAAAAATTATATCAACTTTTGCAGAAAATTTTTGCTATTTTACCAATGAAAACAAAGTTTTAAAAATCACGCAAAATGATGGGATAAACTGAAAATCTTTCACAGCATATGGGCACATTGTGCTGCCATGTAAACATTTGACAAAATGGTGTCACACACTTTGTTTTGGTTATGTTTAGTTTGATTTCACAATAAATAGATTTGATCCACATTCCACACTGAGATTTAAATGATGGAAAGTTGTTTCAAAATTTAAACACCTATTGATATGTACGGTATCCAGATATGATTTTTTTCACATTTTTGCCCTTGCCCTATTATATCAATATTTTCTTAATAACTTCAGTTCAATCTTCAAATTCTGAATGATTTTGTCTCCCATTTCAAGTTTTTGAATGTCTTGTGTCTTTTTGAAAATGTTTGTTGTTTTGAACTGGCAAATATTGCATTATATAAAACATTATGCATGTACCATGAGGTGCATTAAATAATTCAATTTAATTTAATATAAATTGATTTTTAATTTAAAATTTTTAAATAGAATTTTCAATTTATTATATATTAATAAAATTTAATTCTACAGCAATACAGCATGTACCATGTGGTATATTAAATAATTAAATTAAATTTAATAAAATTTAATTTTAAATAATTTTTTAAAATTTAATTTAATTCTACAGTTGCAACCAGTAAAAATGAGCATCATAGGAATGAAAGTAAAATTGTCATTCATACACCCCAAATTGAATAACATTGAATGAATTTGATAGGTGTATTAATAATCCCATTTATATACAGGAATGGAAATGTCGCTTTGATTTCAGAATCTGTTCCTGAATACATTTGTGAAACTACTGTAATACTTACAGTAAATACCATAACAGTAATACTATAGTACTTATATACAGTAATATTACAGTTGCATTGTGGCATTGCCAACCATAATATTACCGCTTGTTGCTGCTTCATACCGCCAAAGCTAACCTTCTGGAAGTGGCATTGCCAACCATCAAATGCAGTTGCTGGTTAGCTTTCACTGAGTGAACGTGTATGAGATTTTGCTCTCGTGAAATAGCTTTGCGGTGCATCATGTTAAGTTCAACTTTTATTGGTGGCATGATTTGTTATTAATTTGTAAATGTTAATTTGTTGTGTTTGAATTTGAGACAAAGTGCTAATGAATTAATATTTAGTCTAATTGAAATCTTGAAGTATTGCAAGTTGCAACCTTCATTCTTGATTCTTTTGAGTGTAACTTTAATCCCTCCCTATTTTTATCCTTTCCATCTCAACTAAAATTTTTGGATAAGAAAGTGGTGAAGATGAATTGGAAATAATATATGAACCTTAATTTTTAGAATTCCATCCTGCTTGATAGTAATGATGGATAGCCAAGATTCTTAATGTGTTACCAAACCTCTCTACTAGTCTAATTGGATCTTGGAAATTGGAAGAACAAATGTCAACTCCCACAGTCCTATTTGATCAAACTGTGTCCTCAGGAGTGATAGGAATCATTATCATTAAGTTTGATAAATGAAAAACATCATTGTTTGATCATACAATAATATTATAAAGGAATGACTTGAAACTTTGTTGTTCTAAATCAATCATTTGCTTCCAATTTCTCATACTAATACTTATTGAAAACAAATAACCAGCCTGGATCAACACAAACGTGAAACAAATTGGTTCACTGATAGCACAACAACAGTACTTTGTGAAGAACTAAGAAATATAGGAAAAATGTTCACAGTTCACTGCAGAGTTCACACTCATTTTCAATTGCTTTATGTGCCTCAGAAGTTGTACATAACTCAACTTATGAGTGCTTCTAGCATTTGTGAAGTTATGCATAACTTTGTTGACATAACTCAGTGTGGAAATGTTTTAAAGGTACCTACCATATTTTGGAGTTATGCGTACTTAGCGGACTTATGCAGTGCTTGAGTTGCTATAAAGACTTAGCAATGTTTTGAAATTACGACTCCATATTTATAGACAAGAATATCAAGATTTATTCAAAACCACATTTATATGTTTTAAGATTTTCTTTAGGAATAATAATTAATCCTTGTGCATTATCTAAGTAATTTCTTAGTTCACAAACTTTGTACAGTGTAGGTACCAAATTGGATAATTATTCAGAAGCTTCATGTGTGCAAGCAATAAGATTTCAAATTAGAATAAACTAGTATGTGACTTTAGGTAAAATGTTTGCTTTTTCTAATCCATGTTTAAAGGAGAGTTGTGAGCCCAATTCTGTTTACTCTGAACATCTTGCACTACCTAAAGTTGCATTATATCTTACAGAAACATTCTAGAGCTCTAAGACTCCAGCAGAGATGAAGGAGTTACCCGCATTGCAGGAGTCTTCTGATGCAGTCAAGTTAGGTGCAGGTCTCGAGCTGTGTCATCATACAGCTGAAGACTGCAGGCAGATGGAGCATTCCTTGCCAAGTTGTGTCTTGGGTAATTAGCTCATTGTAATGTTTTGATTTGTGTAATATTTTGTCATGATATTTATGAACATTGCAGTTATAGCAAAATTGATGTTTGCTCTGGTTGCCATTTGATGAAAATCAATTTTATATTTGTTCATGCACTTGCAATTTCATCAAGAGTCTGGTTTGGTTTTATGACTTATATTGTCTAAACAAGTATATATGTACAAGAAGTGTCTCTAGCATAGAACTGTTTGCTCTCCAACTTTTGGCATTAGGTTGGAAAATTTATTTGCTGCATAGTACATATTTTGACACAGGTAAGTATATAGGAAATGAAGGATTTGTCACCATTATTTGATTTTAGCTCAAATCACAGTAAATAAGTCCTTTTTATGTTAAGTTGTATGTTTTGGATAAGATTTATGTAAATTATATAAGATCTGGAATTGATGTCTGGCGTTCTCAAATTTGATGTTAATATTCATGTAGCCAGTGCTGAGTATTTTGACCATATATGATAAGCTAAGGTCGGTAACTAATGACAATTTTTAGGTATGTTCCTCAATAATTGAATCAGTACTCAAGTTGTGGCACTTGCAGAAGCTGTGAAGATTGAGCCTCGTGATGAGCAGCAATCAAACTGTGACTTGGGGCTCCCAGCTGGCTTCCTTGAAGTGGAGAAAGAGGAACCTTTCTTCATGAAAGAAGTTAGTGATTTTCCTTTGAAGAATGTTCTTTTGTTATTATTCTATGAAATTAAT